CAATGTGAGAAGACACTTTCTATAGTGGACCTGTAAAAGGAGGTCATCAGTCGTTGTTCCACTTTGTTCTTTCACAAGACCTTGAGGGAGTGGATTCTCTGTTGGGACTTTCTGGCCACCTGGGTTGTGTTGGTTTTCCAGGTGAGATCTCCGCTGAGGTAGACTCCCAGGAATTTAAAGGAGGAAACTCTCTCCACACACCCCCCCCATGTAAAGTGGGATGGGTTCCTCTCTTTTCTTCCAGAAGTCTAACACCATCTCCTTTGTCTTGCCGATGTTCAAGTGTAAGTTGTTTTCTAGGCACCATGAGGATAGTTTTTGAGCCTCCCCCCCCCCTACGGTGTTTCGTCTCCACCTTTAATAAGACCCAATACGGTTCGAACTTGATGATGGCAGTGGATGGGTCAGAGGATACACAATCATGTGTGCACCGGGAATTACAGGTAGGGACTGAGCACACAGCCCTGTGGTGAGCCAGTGCAAAGCTTCAGGGAGGTGGATGTGACAGACCCTCAGACCCTCACTGTTTGTGGCTGGTCCCTCAGAAAGTCTTTGATCCAGTCGCAGATGGAGGGGGGAGAATCCAAGTCAGTCAGCTTTTCGATAAGGATGCTCGGCAGGCTAGTATTGAAGGCCAAGCTATAGTCAATGAAAAGCATGCTGACATAGTTTCTGGGTTTCTCCAGATGGTTGGCTACAGAATGTAAAGCAGTAGCTTTGGCGTCGTCTGTCGACCTATTCCCCCTGTAGGCAAACTGATGTCAACGAGAACTGCAAACATGGTCTTTTGACTTCCACTTTTGCTCAGGAGAGACCCAGAAAGGACAGGTTGGGCAAAACGCTAAACGTCCTCTCTTTGAACTTCACTCCTTGCTCAGAAAGTCACTCGGAACCGATGACAAATTAAACATCAAATGTTATTGTCCCACGGGAGCCGCTGGTTATTCAAACCTTCCGTGTGTGTTGCGCGTATGGCCCCCCCGTTCATAAGTTGATGGCAGAAAATTAATAAAAAATAAGGGGAAGCAAATTTAACCAAAGGAGAAGCTGCGGGGGGGGGGACTTTGAATATCGAACGTTCGCCGCTCAAATGCCAGCAGGAACGGATGACAATCTGCATACAAACAGCTCTTAAGCGAGCCCCAGCGGAGGAGGAGGAGGGAAGGGAGACGTTCTCCTGCTGGGAAAGGACCTTCCCACGGTGGGTGAATGTGTGTGTGGGGGGGGGGGAGGGAAGAGACCCAGGCAGGACAGCGTTGCCCATACCTCGCCCCCTCTTCCCGCTTTCTGCTGCCTCCCACCAAGTCGCAACCTCTTCCAGAAACTCACCGCAGCGGCTCCCGGGCACCAAGGACCCCAGCACGGCCCCCAGGAGCAAGAGGGGCGCCGGATGCAGCCGCATCGCCCTCCGACCACGCGCAGCTCCGCACTTGCGACCGAAGACACCGTTGCGCACGCGGAGACTGAAAGCACCGCCGACGGTTGCCGGGCCGCGTCCTGGAGCCCCCCGTCCCATCTGCTCCGAGCTCAGCTGAAGTTTCCCGCTCCGGTCAAATTCCGAGACAGAACAAAACAAACGGCTACAGGAAAAGAGAACCGGCCCTCTTTGGACTCGTCTGCACAAGGAAGGGGGCAGCGCCCACAACAAGCAGCCGCGAACCTCTTTAAACCACCCACAGGCAGGTTTATCCTGCAAACGAGCTCGTTATACGCCTCTTGTGTGAATGCAGCCACAGTGTCGCCTTCCTCTCTTAAGTTTTCTTGCGAGGCTCCTCCGGAGAGACCTCTCCCCGTTTCCCCCTCCCCCCTCCCCCTCCCGCGGCTTCTTTCTGGCAGAACGTCCCAACAGAGACACTGAAGTAATTAACGGAAAATCTCAACGTTGAGTAAGTCGTTGCTAGAGTGGAGGATAATATACGGGGGAGGAGGGAGGGGAGAATGGAGGTGCAACCCTTAATTCTGCCTTCACCCCCTTCCCCTTCCAAGCTCCCCCAAGCGCTCCCTGTGCTGTTTCTACCTGAAAAAGCCCAGCCAGGAGCTGCCCCGGTTCCTCTCCGTTAAAGAGTTAAAGTTGGTGATTAAAGAATGGATGGATTCAGAACTGGATAAGAACCAGCAGGAGGAGGAGGAGGAGGAGGAGACTGAGGCTGATCATCTGGTTCCCCCCGCCCTTCCCAGGCAAGGAGGCTAATTGGGGAAGGGGCTTAGCTTCTTCTCCGCTTTGAAACCTGCCCCCTCCCACTGTCAGGGCCACCCAGACCTTGAGAAATCCTCAGTTAAAATCCTGGCCGGGGTTCCAGGTTTGGCTCCTACACCACGTGCCTCCTGCAGCCGAAGACACCCGGGCGCAGCCACCAGAGTTCCGCAAGCTTTTTTTTTTTTTTTTTTTTGTCTGTCTCACAAACACACGAAGGCTGAGAAGGACAGGAGAAAGGGAATGCTGCTGAAAGCAGGTGAAATCAGGTGGAGGGGGGAGAGAAGATGTTGCCACAAAGAGGAGCTATAAGTCACTTTTTTCAATGCTGTCATAACTTTGAACTGTCACTAAAGGAACTGTTGTAAGTCGAGGACTTTCTGGAGTCATGGAGGTGTGCATTTGCCAGGGAAGCAGAGGTGCTTCAAGATGGGGGGGGGAGCGGAGGGGGGTGAAGCAAGGACCGGCTTCTCTCCGGAGGGAGCTCCGAAGGGCTGAGCAGAGCCGGGCGAAGAGAAGGGAGACCACCAGGCGGGCGCTCCGGGTCTCCCGGACTTTTCCCTGCGGAGGCAGCCTGGGCGCGGAGGCAGAGACTCCAGAGGGACCGCGAAAGCGCCGAGCCTGGCAAGGAGGGAAGAAGGGCCGGGATGGGCGTCGGAGCTGCGCGGGGCTTTGGCCGCGCCTTCATGCGGGAGGGAAGGAGAGGGAGGGGATCTCTTGCCTCCCCTCCCCCTTTGAAAAGAGCCTTTCGTCTGAACGAAGAAAGAGATCGGTCGCTTTTTTTTTTTTTTTTTTTCAGGAGAGAGCTGGGAGGTCGAACTGGTTAAGCAAATAGAGCTATAAGAAACCCATAAACTGGGGACTCTGTTTTGCAAAGGGGGGTGGGGGGACCGCGAAGCTATTCTGGTTGAAATATACTTATCGGTATTCGGGGGGGGGAGAGGGTGCAATCTACCTGCATGTCTGTTCTTTTCGTGCACTTTTTTGTTTTGTTTTGTTCACTTTCGTTCTTGTTCTTGTTTCTTTTCGGAGTTTGTATTTTGACTTCCAAAATTAAAAAAAAATTAAGAAAAATTATTAGAAAAAAAAATCAGCTGCATCAATAAATCCTTCCTCGGCACCAAAGGGACTCAGTGCTTTTGTTGCTTGTAGCAAAGGTAAAAGGTGACACCGCCCCCCCCCCAGCCGCCAGTTCTTTCCAGCAGGAAACCGCTGTCCAGGTGCCAAGAATGTTGAGAGTGGGATGGAGCCACCTCTGCCTCGGGTGTTTCTCCTCCTGTTCCAGGATCTGACTCTTCATGCAGGAGACAGCCCTGCCTGGGCCTGCCCTTGGAGGCTACAGTTCACCCTCCACCCTAGAAACTCCTTTCTCAGCTCAGCCTACCTCACAGGGTTCTTGTGGGGACAAATGGGCAGGAATGCTTTTATCGGGAGATCCTTAGCCGAGCGGCTTCTGTGATGGAGTGTTCGGGGAAAGAGCCAGGCCTCCAGGAAGAAGCTCCGCCCCATTGAGAACACGGAGCTGTGCTGTGAAGGGCTTTGGAAGGCAATCACACACACACACACACACGGACTCACAACCACACTCGGAGGACTTTTCCTTCCCAAAGTCCAGGGA